GGGGACTGACCTGCCTGAGGGTCAGTGTGTGTGTGTGTGGGTGTGTGGGTGTGTGTGTGTGGGTGTGTGTGAGGGTCAGTGTGTGTGTGGGTGTGTGTGAGGGTCAGTGTGTGGGTGTGTGTGGGTGGGGGGACTGACCTGCCTGAGGGTCAGTGTGTGGGTGTGTGTGTGGTGTGTGTGTGGGTGTGTGTGAGGGTCAGTGTGTGGGTGTGTGTGTGGGTGTGTGTGGGGGGGACTGACCTGCCTGAGGGTCAGTGTGTGGGTGTGTGTGTGGGTGTGTGAGGGTCAGTGTGTGGGGGTGTGTGGGGGGGGGACTGACCTGCCTGAGGGTCAGTGTGTGTGTGTGTGGGTGTGTGTGTGTGAGGGTCAGTGTGTGGGTGTGTGTGAGGGTCAGTGTGTGGGGGTGGGGTGGGGGGGACTGACCTGCCTGAGGGTCAGTGTGTGGGTGTGTGTGTGTGTGTGAGGGTCAGTGTGTGGGTGTGTGTGAGGGTCAGTGTGTGGGTGTGTGTGAGGGTCAGTGTGTGGGTGTGTGTGTGGGGGTGTTGGGGGGTGGGGGGACTGACCTGCCTGAGGGTCAGTGTGTGGGTGTGTGTGAGGGTCAGTGTGTGGGTGTGGGGGTGTGTGGGGGTGGGGGGGACTGACCTGCCTGAGGGTCAGTGCCGCCGCTGTCAGTGTCCGGCCGTTGGCCGCCATGTCACGCGGCTCCCGGGGGGCGGGGCCACAGCAGCTCCGGAGCCGATTGGTTCCGTTTCATGTTGGAATTCCGGCCCTGAGCGGCCGCGGGTTTGGGGCTATTTCCCGCCCAATTGGGCGGCTTTTAGTTCATGTCATTTTTAACATCATAATATTTTTGAAAATCCTTTTCTTGCAGTTTCAAAAGCTCTGATCTAAATTATTCACTACCCCAGAGGGGCATAAATAACTATGCGACACAGAACAACTCGGCTACTTCTGAGCTCGTATTTGGGATGTCCTCCCGACCTGAAAGGCACTATACAAATGTAATTTTGTTGTTGTTGTTGGAGGTGGACTTTGGGCTACAGACACGTTTAAATTTCTAACAATCCCAAATCCTCACCTGACTCACTCCCACTCCTTCCCCCGCTTTACTCCCGCTCACTCCCCCACTTTATTTGCAGTTGACATGATTCATCATTTAGCGATTGTTTTTTGGCATTTTAAATCAATAGTTAACAGCCCAACTACACAATAGTGTTTGAGTCATTAGATCTGGTATTACTGTTAACATTTTATTTACATTTAAAACCCATTTTGCAACATCTGCCAATCATTTTTAGTTTTTTGCCCAGGTGAGATTTTACGATGATAATAATCCTTGCATTTGATATAGCGTCTTGTCCAGATGATTCAAAGTGCTTTACCTGATATACTGTAAAGTGAGTTGACCATGTATTAAGGTCAGTATACAACTTTTTGGAATTTGATTTTCCTTTGAAGAATGTGGGAGGGGAACTATCAGGAAACAAAATGGGAGGCTGGTAAAAAAAAAATTCCCCCATGGAGTAAAATCATACAACCTGAACAGTAGGTTTATTTGAGTAGCGGTTCATACATTCCTAACTGAAATGAACATTATAAAAGTGCAGAAAGCAATAGAAAGGCATGTCAACACAAGGGACCCAAAGATTTATTTACAAGTAGAGTATCAGACTAAACATCAAATAAAGGATAAGCAAGGTAAACACTTATATGAGAACGGAACGCATTGCAGTGTGAAACATAAGCAAGAATGGAATAAGAAAAACCCATTTGGGCCATCAAACCAACTCCTTCTGTTCACACAAAACCTATCCTCGTGTGGATTCAACACACTCACCACATATCCTGGAGGAAGGTATTGCACAGATTCTCCTTGGCCTTCAAAGCCAATCAGGTAAAAGATTCAGGCTATTCATCCATCTCCACAATTCACTCCTGACCTCCTCCCACTGATGACTTTCTCCAATATCCAGAGTGCCCTCATTATAACTAAACCTTGTTGATATCAGACAGTGAGTGGGGTTACCAGTCAGGCCTAGGTCCAAAGCACAGAGATCAACATATTTATGCGTGAAGTATCAGCTGGAGCTCCTACACTGGGTCATTGACTCAATACAAATGGCTGGACACTAAAAGATAGTGCTAAGACTACTCTAACATCACCTGACAAGCACATAGAGTGATGGAGCGATTGTCTTGGTGACTGGGTGTTAGATGCTGTGTTGCAAATGATATAAAGTTGCAAATCAAAACTGGATTTTATTCCAAACTAAACACTCACACAACAGGCAAAATCACTTTATAATTGTAAATGCTCTGTGAAGGTGAACATCTTTAAGCAAGGGATAGGTTTGTTCTGACACATTTTATCAAAGAAAGGCGGCTGGTGTCAAGCAATTAGATATTGACACTCAAATAAACCGTGTATAGTATTGCTGTGTCATTAGCACATTCAGCCATTTGAAAAGTGGCAGATTGAAAGGATAGGTGAAGTGCTCCAGAGAAATAGTATAAAAATATTCTTATGGCTTTAATATTTGTTTTATTAATGAACACATCATCTTAAATAAAAGCAGAACACTTCAGCTCATTTGATCTCAGCAACAACAATGCCTGTGATCTTCAAATTATAGAATCATACATTTTTGAACACAAACCAAAATATGCCCCCCCCCACACACACACACACACAGCCTGACCCCCCCCACACACACACACACACACAGCCTGACACTCCCCCCCCCCCCCCACACCACACACCACACAGCCTGACCACCCCCCCCCACACACACACACACACAGCCTGACACTCCCCCACACACACACAGCCTGACCCCCCCCCACACACACACAGCCTGACACCGCCCCCCCACACACACACAGCCTGACACCGCCCCCCCACACACACACAGCCTGACCCCCCACACACACACACAGCCTGACCCCCCCCCCCACACACACGCACACAGCCTGACACCCCCCCCACCGCCACACAGACACACACACAGCCTGACCCCCCCCACACACATACACACACACACAGCCTGACCCCCCCCCACACACATACACACACACACACAGCCTGACACCCCCCCCCCCCCACACACACACGCAGCCTGACCCCCCCCCACACACCCACATACCTCCACACACACCCTGACACATACACACCCCCCACACACACACACCGACACACACACACACACCCTGACACACACACACACACCCTGACACACACACACCGACACACACACACACCGACACACACACACACCCACACACACACCGACACACACACACACACCCTGACACACACACACCGACACACACACACACCGACACACACACCCACACACACACCGACACACACACACACACCCTGACACACACACACCGACACACACACCCTGACACACACACACCCCCCACACACACACACCGACACACACACACCCTGACACACACACACCCCCCACACACACACACCGACACACACACACCCTGACACACACACACCGACACACATCAACACACCCCCCACACACACACACCGACACACACACACACCCACACACACACCCTGACACACACACACCCCCCACACACACACACACCGACACACACACACCCTGACACACACACACCCCCACACACACACACACCGACACACACACACCCTGACACACACACACCGACACACACACACCCCCCACACACACACACACCCTGACACACACACACCGACACACACACACCCCCCACACACACACACACCGACACACACACACCCTGACACACACACACCCCCCACACACACACACACCGACACACACACACCCTGACACACACACACCGACACACACACACACCCACACACACACCCTGACACACACACACCGACACACACACACACCCACACACACACCCACACACTGACCCTTAGGCAGGTCAGTCACCCCCACACCCCACACACACCCACACACACAGCCTGACCCCCCCCCCCCCCCACACACACACACACACAGCCTGACCCCCCCACACACACACACACACACCCACACACAGAGCCTGACCCCCCGCCCACACACACCCACACAGCCTGACCCCCCCACACACACAGCCTGACCCCCCTCACACACAGCCTGACCCCCCTCACACACAGCCTGACCCCCCCCCACACACACCCCCACACACACACAGCCTGACCCCCCCCCCCACACACACACAGCCTGACCCCCCCCACACACACAGCCTGACCCCCCCTCACACACACAGCCTGACCCCCCCACACACACATACACCCACACACAGAGCCTGACCCCCCGCCCACACACACCCACACAGCCTGACCCCCCCACACACACAGCCTGACCCCCCACACACACACACCCTGACACCCCCCCACCCACACACACACACAGACACACACACACACAGTCTAACAGTGACAGGAGCAGCCCTAACCCTCAGGCTGGTCAGTCACCCCCCGCACAGAGAGACATAGAGTCACCTACACACACGCCAGACACATGGAGAGACACACACACACCACAGCAAGAGATACACATACACCAGCGACATAGAGGCACACACATAGACACAAACACACACACACAAATACACTTGCACGGACACAATTATGTTTAATTATGTGATTTCTTCTTTTCAAGTTCCTACATCGGCAAAAGGTCCTGACCTTATATAGAAAGATTTTAAGAGCCATTTATCAAATGCCAAATGAAGCCGATCAGCTGTATCTTAAAAAATGGGCACGACAAGAATTTAAACAGAATAAAAATGCAACAGATCCAGTAAGGAGCATCTTGTTTGTTTATTTTTTTAATAGTTATATTTGTTATAATTATTGTGTCAAAGTGATTCACACAGTAAGTTACTTTGAAGTCTATTAATTGAAATGTAGCCAAGCATGACATCGAATTTGGGTCAGTAATACCACACATACAGCAATGAGATATTACAAAATGCAGTTGTTTTGATAAATTTGGAATATTGCCCAGAACATCACGGGAACTCCCTGCTCTTTGAAATCGTGTTAATCCTTAACCTACCTGAACAGACTTAATGGGATCTTAGTTCAACATCTCACCTGAAAAACAGGACCTCCAACAATGTGTCAGCCTGGACTACAGACTCAATTCCTGGTGGGAATTGAGTCAAACTTCTGTACCAGAGGCGAAAGTGCTTTCAAGATGAGTGAAGCCAATATGTTCACGACAAATATTAACCATGAAAGCACTTTCCTACTTTTCGTGGTTAGATTTTAAAACGCCTGCTCTAATGACTGGCGTACAAAATCCTTCCGCCTCACTCTTTCCGTCTCTGTTTTCAAAATCCTCGGAAGACCCATCTCTTTGACTGCCCCTTCAGCCAACTCCCCCATCGCCCTTCCGGTTTGGCTCCGCTCCTTTTGAGATGTTCTTCCTGCATGCTGTCTAAGTGCAGTTGTTGTTGTCAAGACTTGAACAAAGTTGCTCAATTGGGATAGTTGAGTTTGATTATTCTTCTGGTAAAGGTAACATTACTGCTGACTTAAATTGGGAAACATAAAGACACATTTGATTGGTAATTAATTTATTCCAACATATAATAATTTTGTTATAGCAACACTTACAGAGAGTGAAGTTTTCATCTGATTCTTACCTCCGGTTAATAAGTGAATGTGTTGTTTCTCATCCTCTCCCCCACCCCAACCCCACTCTCGCCCACTCCCCATTAGGATACAGTACGAATGATGCTCACACATGGAAACCTGCAACTTCAGGAATTGGAGAAAATGCTTCGTTTAGCAAAATAACGCAGACATCAGTGTGCCGCTCCTGTTGCAGATTTTCCAAGACACTTTGTGGTTCTGCTGGAACATTTGTAGCAGTATTTCTGGTTCTGACAAATGTCTTCACAGACTGGCAACAGTAACTGAACATTTCCCTTAAAATAATTGCTTGAAATGATTCAATCTCCATGCCCTGGAAGTTTGGGGGAACGCATTGTATTCTTATGTTGAAGGGTATGCTGTGTTTTAGAACCATTTAGCACAACATGTCCTTATAAGAGATCCATTACTTATTCCCATTTATAAATTACATTAGGGCATAACCTTTTACCATGGAACCTAAACAGTACTATTTGGAAAGTAGGAGAAAAGTAATTATTTCAAAATGGTTAATGCCACTCTAGACAAGTGCTTACTTCCAAGCTGTTAACTAAGGTTTATCGCACCAATTCTCTTCTGGAGCCTTTTACATTGATATTCACTGGTGAGCTTGAACATGTAATAATAATCCTTGTATTTGATATAGCGCCTTATCATGTCTTTGTGACGTCTCAAAGCGCTTCGTAGGATATTCCTGTAAAGTGAATTGACTGTACATATGAAACATCACTGAATACAATAATATACTATGTATGTTTTAAAATGTGATTCTTTATGCAGACACCTTCAGTTGCACCTTTTCCAAATCCCTGTGAATGTAGACACTAATTTGTGCTCACATTGTCATACCCTGTATCACCCATAGAGTTACAGCCTACTGTTAATGCTTACACTTGTTTGAGTCAATGTTTTTGAGTCTGCCTCAAGTATTGTATAATAATGTAATACCAACCCAGATAATAACATATCCTGCACCAAGCACATTCCCAATGCACAAGATCACAAAAGGGCTTCTGATCACGATCCGAAAACAACTGCTGGAACATGATTGTCTGTGTAAATTAGATGAGGAGAGAATTGGACACAGTTTTGGTGTCTTCTTGCCCCCATCTCCCACATTGGCTGTTTGTAGAACAATGCTCTGCACAAGTTGGCTGCCATGTTCGGCCACAAAACATAGTCATACTACTTTACTGTATATCCTTTCATCTTCCCAGCATGAAAGGCATATACGCATGTAAGGATTATTATTATAATACAAAAAAATTAGCTGACAACTAACTAAAGCTATGGGGATAATCATTTGAGGCCAAATTCAGTATTGCAAGCACTTGAATAGGCTCTCCTTAATTTTTTTTAACATATCTTTTGCCACAATATCACATAGAGGTTAAAATGTGGTCAGTGTTGTGATAATTGTTACATACCAGATTTTTCACTATGAAGTCTACTGCTGTTTGCATAGGCTAGTCTGGATTTTTTTTGAAAAACGCTATTCAGTTTTTGAAATGTTGCACAATCCAACGTAAATCATTTTCATAAATAAAAATTGATGTTTAGCAATGCCAGAAGGTGCAGAATTGAGAACAAAATTAAAACACAGCTGGAACGTTTGAAAGTGTGCAGTTGGGGCAGGCAAGATGGAGCCTAAGACGAATGTCCAATGTATAATTTACTGAGGCCTGGATGTTTGACTGATTCTTGGCTTGCAGGAAGGTCGCCCAGGTGTCTGATAAAAATGGGTGCTTGGATCATCTTGGAGGCTGATGAACGGATGTGCGACTGATTTAGTGGCAGAGGCATGAGCGCACAATCTTTTCCAGTGGTAGAGAAAAAAAGTCCTTTGCTGAATTGCCAATCTGTTTTGTGCCCTCCAAATGTGAAAAATATAGAAAATCATTCAGTAAAATATTGGACAAAAAACAGAAAAAAAAGATCAAGTTCCACCAACCCTATATTTGCAATTCCTATGTATCCAGCAATGTTTTTTTCTGTCTTAAATGTACATTCCAAAGATGTACAGATCTCAGAGGAAAATATGAACAGAAGTAAATCCAGGTACACAAATCCAGACACATATTCTGAATATATGCCTCCTGACTAAAGTTAAAAAAATAAACTCACCAATGCAATTGGTTTGCCTCTATAAAAGTATATTTAACATGGTGAATGTTTGTTCACATTATCTTTTTGAGTAATGTTCACTATTATTAGTGGTGTGGGAAAGAGGTACAAGGTTATGTAAATTACACTAAACTAATAATAATGCAAAACATTTTATAACAGTTTGTTTACAGCCAAGTGCCTATTCAAAGAAATAAACTATATATATTGTCCTGACAAGGTACATTATGTATGTAGTATCCCTAACAAAGTTAAAATATTTTAAAAGGTTTTGTACAAAAAATGACAGTTAGCAAAGACAGCACTGTGGCTCATATTTACAACATACTATAAAATTGATTTTCTAAAAATTAAAAATGAATGTCCATACCTATTAACTGCAGCTTTTTGTGAGCACAATCCAATAATGAACATTCAACAGACACAAGTGAAGTGAATTTTACAAATATGAATGCTAAGTCAATGTACCAAATACAAAATCAAGACCTAATTTCAATTCAATCCAGAAGCCTAGAGAAATAACTTTGATAGCTCTGATTTGTCAAGGGACATAAATTACAGGATTTAGCTTATCTGACATTTTATAATTTGTAAAGATGTTTAACTAGAACAGGAAGCTACATTTTTGAGCCTTCGGTTGGTCACAAGATTACAAGATTGGTTTGGATAAAATCATGACTACTCCCTGTTTTATTGCTTAATACATCAATGCAAATCGTGGCCAACATGGCAAGTTAGACTGAAGTTAGGCAACTTTTTAGAATGTATTTTTGGCCGCTTTTGACATTAGCGATCATGTCTGTGCCCGTTGGCTACCTCATTAAGACTGAAGCATGCAGCACTGCCAAGTTGTTGAGTGGTCACCAGCCTGCCTAATTATTACATAAAATCCCTTCATTTGGCAAAACCTTTAATGCTTCAAAAACTATCATTCTTACACCAATACAATGAAAGAATATTGTAAATCAGAAATTGTCTTTACTTCACAACAATCAAGTTGCAAATTTGGTGCAGAAATTGTAACTGTCAAATAGTCGTCCTTTCAAACCTGTAAAGGACTGAACAAGATTGATGCCTGTAAAGTCCAATGGCATTAGGAATGCAGTAATGCTGCTGACCCTACTCCTTTTCTCCAGTTAGCTGCCTAATAGTTCTAATCTTCTCTACCTTGTATTAATGCTACAGTAATTAATTAATCATTATGACTTACAATAATCAATTGTGGATTAAAATAAAAAATATTGCCTAACACTGACTCAAATCCATTTAGTTCTGTTAATGCTGTTGTTAACATAGCAAGACACTAAAACTGGAAAACAGTTCAGAAAAAAATGCCTGATTACATAACCCGATTGAGTGCTGCATTGCCTCGACACAACGATCCTACTAACAACCCCATCCATTGCACTAATGATAGATGAAGTAAGGTTTTTTTTAGAATTTGTACTAAATGTGACATAATGATTAAAGAGATTGTATCTTTGCGTCTCAGAGCACATAATATTCAACCTGTAGGCATGTCTGGTACATTTTTCAGTCAGTACATTTCATCTAATCTTTTCACGTAATATCGAAGATGATACATATTCAAATAACAACAAACTACAATTATGCATCTAAATACTCAAATCACAATAATACTTTCATGTACATTATTTTGCATTCAATCCAGGCAACATACAGCAATCGTATTGAGAAAGATTTAGGTGCACCATTTGCATTCCCTTTTGTGCCATACAGGAATGTGAGACTAGAGTTGTTTGCTCAATATATATTTACAGCACTTTCCAAAAGTAGCAATTTACAAATCCGTATATATCCATGACTCAGAGCATGCTGTTCATTAGTAAACTGACCTTGTTGCTCGCAGTTTCTGTACACAGATCTTGCAAACCCATTTGTAATTGTCTATTTCCAAGAGGCCAAGAAAAAACCTGTAAACTGAAGCCCAAATGATCTTAAATCTATGATAATGAGATGTAATATTCTGTAGTGCATTGAATTCCAAATTGGACCCAGGAAAGATGTTGAATGTGTGAGATATTTACTCCACAGAATACACATTTGAACAGAACTTTGTGTTAGAAAGAGACATATCCAAACAGCATTTGCTAGCTTTCTTTCTGCATTTTAGTCCTAAGTTTTTCTAGCTCTTCTTCCAAGCTCTTAATTTGCTCTAGCAGAGCAACTTTATCCTGCTGGGCCTTCTGATCGGCTTGACACCTTGCCTCGTCAATCTTTCTCTCGTACCATTTTTCCATCTGCGTGGAAACCGCCTCAAAAAAATACTGAGTGATCTCCAGCGCTGGGGAACTGGCTTTCATTTGTGTGGCAGGTTGTTCTGCTTTGTGTCCAGCAGAGTGCAACGTAGTTTCTTCTTGTCTGTGCCTTGTAGTGAGAGACTTTCGCGTCTGAGTGCTTCTGCTTTGATTGCGTCCCCCAACAATTGGTGCTTGGTCAGGCTTTGGGACTAAGCTTTCGTTAGCAATCTGAAACTTGACTTGTCCAGATTTGGCCAAAGGCTGCTCCAGAGACGGCACCTCATGGCGGATCCTAGTCGAGGGCTTCTCCTTTGGTCTGACAGCTGGAGATGTGGGTTGCGCCATGTTTGAGACAGCACTAGTGGCGGCAGATACCACAGGCTGCGTTGCTCCTGCGGAAATAAACACATACGAATCTCAAAACAAGTCTTAATTTCGTAAACCCAAATTATCTCACTGATCCAGGAAAATCCAACCTGGAGTACAAAATGAGACAGGAAGTATACAACAACAACTTGCATTTATATAGGGCCCTTCACACTGGGTAGTGTCCCAGAGCACTTGACAGTCTGACCCTGAGCCAGGGGGAGAGGGAGGGGAGAGGTGACTATAAGCACGATCAAAAAGGAAAGTCTTTAGACGGGATTTGAAAGTAGGGAGGGATTGAGGGAGAGAGATCCAGAGTTTCGGGGCATAATGGCTGAATCGCGGCCACCGATGGGAATGGAAGTGGGGTAGAAAGGAAAGCTGGGGATCAAACCTGACGCCTAAGTTGCACACTGCTTCGGAGAGTCTGTGGGAGACCCCGGGGAAATTGAGGAGTTCAGACTCGCAGGAGAGAAGACATTGATGGGAGCCAAAGAGTATGGCTTCTGACTTGCCGACATTCAGCCGCAGGAAATTTGCACTCATCCAGGCCTTGATGTCCATCAAACAAGCTGATACGATATCAGCAGACTGGGAGTCACAGCTGGAGGAGAAGTAGATTTGGGTGTCATCTGCATACATGTAGAAGTTGACCCCATGTCTGCGGATGACGCGCCGAGAGGGAACATAATAATAATAATAATAATCCTTGCATTTGATATAGCGCTTTTCACGTCGGGAGGACGTCCCAAAGTGCTTCACAGATCACACTGTAAAGTGAATTGACTGTATATTTGTGGGCGAACGCGGCAGCCAATTGCGCACAGCAATGTCCCACAAACAGTCGTAGATTGAAAATGACCAATTTATTATTGTTTTTGGTTTTGGAGGGATTATTATTAGGCTCTGTGTGGAGTAAGGAAACTTGCCCAAGGTTTCGCCCTCTGCCTGGAATTGAACTCAGGTCTCTCGCTTGCAAAGCGAGTGCTCTAACCACTGAGCTACAGGACTCCACAAACATGTAGATAAGGACAAGAAGGGGGCCAAGGATGGAGCCTAGGGGTACCCCACAAGTATAATACACAAGTATGCACTTCGGGTAGTTTTAATAACATACGGGAGAGAGTGCACATTCCATTCCAACAATCTATCCGGCGTTTCCATATGTAGGAGGGGTGCATGGAATTCTCAGTTTAGTTGGATACTCTTAAGCACGGTGATGGGTTTCCGCATGTGTCATAGACACCCAGCTATCCAAAAAAAATTATATTTTAAAACATTTAGATCTTATTTAAGTGTTTGAAAGTGCTATTGAAAAGATTAAGGAATTTTTTTAAAAAATTCTCAAATGCTCTGTACCTGGTGGGCTATCCTGTTTAATGACAAAGTACTGCTTGCCAGTGGCTTCATCTGAAGGTGGTACTTTGGTGCCTCCTGAATCTTCAGTCAAAGTAGCGTGTAGGCTGATGTAGGGCTGTGGCTGGAGCTGCTCTCCACCGTGCTGTGTCCCACTGCCAGGGTACATGGGGATAGAGCTACAGTCCCTCGTAGCTTGCACTGCACTTTGGCTTGCAGTCTCCACCAAGGTCTCCCCAGCAGGTACTGTAGATTTGGACCTCGATTCTCCTGAAAACTTGAGTTCAAGATTCTGGATCTTAGACATACACCAAGTTTTCAAATCATCTACCACGGAGGCCTAGGGAGAAGAAAAAAGCACACACATCAATTCTCTGACATTTTGTTTTTTCAAAGCACAAATGAACATTGTTTGGTCAATTCATTAAAAAAAACAATATTAGATTAACACAATACAAAATTACATTTGTAATTGCCAGTTTTAACTGAAAATAATTGAGGTTTTGTTCCCATTTGGGGCCAAAGGACTTTCTTATAAGATCTCAGAAGATTTATGAATGGTTAAAACATCTGCTAATAGCATGAGGGATGGGAAGCGGTTAAAATTGTGTTTGCATTATGACCATTGTGTCAGAAGAGGAAGACTCCAAACTGAAATAATAATAAATACATTGGGACTTGGAATCACATAGGAATCACTTGGAACTGACACTCATGGATTGAGTGACCAAATTAGTATTAATTTTTAAAGAAAATCTTTTTAAAGGGATTATTACCCCTGGAAAAGCAATCCAGCAATCAACTAACATCTGGGTTCCTACTTACTGCTAGGTAAACAGAGGCATGTGGAGTAAAGAAACTTGCCCAATATTTCACCCTGCCCGGGAATCGAACCCAAGTCCTCTCGCTTGTGAGGCGAGTTCTCTAATCAATGATACTTAAAGATCCCAGGGCACTAAAAGAGAAGGAAGCTTTTCCTGGTATTCTGACTAACAATCCCCCAAATAAAATTGGTCACTTACTCCATGGTTGTTTGTGTGACATTGCTGAATGCAACTGACTGGGGGTTTTGCCCCCCAAAATACATAGTCAATCCACTTTACAGTATATCCTATGATAGTGCTTTGAGACATCTAAGCGACGTGATAAGGCGCTATATCAAATTCAAGGATTATTTATAAAATGCAAACAGGGAATGAGTTGACTGAAGGGCGAGGCAATAACTGAATGCCCTAAAGCTGATGTGTTCTAGGCTTTGTGAGTCAGAGCGATGTACACAGGTGAGGAGACATTGCACCTGGTTTACACCTGGATGTGCAAGTTGCTGAATTCAGTCTCAACTTTGAAGCCAGTTTTCTGCAATTCTTACAAAACTTACAAAAGAACAGCTTAACATGAAGGTGTATTGAAAGATTTTTCCAAATTCTGAATACTCTGAAATGCTACATAAATAAAGTAAATCTAGACCCAATGGAATCTCGACCACAAGGTTTCCTGCGAAAATGCAGTCTGTATGTTAAAGTGCCAGTAACGCTACCGTCTTTCAAAGGAGCATTTTTCGCACTACATTGCACAACAAAAATCTAAAGAAACCTTGAATAATTTGCTACAAAAATACACAATCAATACTTTTTACTGTGAATCTTGTGAAGTGCTTGATTTGAAAGGTGCTATATCAAATGCAAGGGTTATTATTATATATTTATTTTTGCCCTTTATGAAAGGCTGCTTTTACCTGCCGTTTCTCTCCCTCGATCTGCTCTAATACAGCACGCTGGTCGATTCGGTGCAAGCATTCAGTCCTCTCGGCTGAGATACGCTCAGATGTTAGCTTATCCAAGACTTTGATCTGAGGATTAAACATAAAGGATTTACACAGCTCACAAGCACTGAATTGGTACAAGAATTACACAATCCAAATTGAACATCTTCAAACACGAAAAACAAGCTGCAGCAATGCCCCAGGTTTTAATGGATTGGGTTTAAAGTTGCCCAAAATATTGCAAAGATAGATCTTTTCAATTTGTTTTTAACATTTCTTAAAAGTCCGAATTATATTCTAGCTGTGGTTTCTCTTTGATTGCTGAAATCAATGCTTGAGGTGGAGGATAGGAACTGGGCTCCTGATCAAAATGATCCCCAATCGACGCACTAATGGTGTAATGTAAATGACTCATCAGATAAAATATTGAGGAAGAAGTGGTTTCATACCAAGCTTTATTCAGCACTTGAAAATTAAACAAATAGTTCTATATTTAAGTCCTCTCCAGTAATTATTCTCACACACATAGACACATAGATACAATCTCCACAGCGTTTAGCCAATTCCAAAGCTTTTGTAGTGAGGCAGGAGTGATATATGCCTTTGTGAGTCACAGGATGATTTATAAGAATGAACATCCTATCAATGGGTTTTAATTTATCTTCTATTTAAAATAAATAATCCTTACATTTGAAACAGAGTTTTATCAGGTCATCGAAACGGCTCGAAGCGTTTATTGGATTTACTGTAAAGTTAGTGATTGCATTTGTGGGTAATCGCAGGAGCCGATTTGCTTCACGGCAATGATCTCAAACAGCCATGAAGTGAATGGTTAATCTTATCTGGGGAGTGTTTTGCCAGGACACCAGGACAAACTCCATTTGTGGCAAGTCCCAGAAAAGCAAGCAGATTCTGGCAAATTAATACAATGTCTTGTAGACAAAATCAAGCTTGGGTGTCCCTGTTTTTCTCTCTCTGTCTCACTGCATACCTCCCTACCCCACAGCAACTCTGTACAGTTTCCAATCTACAATCAATTTGGCTACCATCACACTAAACTGACACTGACCATATGCAATCTGTTTGGTGCTTTGGTTATTGTACGTTGACAATATTGTGCACTGCAGAGTTTATCATCAAAGCGAATAATCAACATCAGCATTCCCCTCCCCCACCTCCACCCCACCTTTTTATCTTGGCAAACCATAGAGTTTCCTGAGCCAGGTATTGTTGAGACTCGGCACCCTATCTAGTAACAGCCTCAGAAGGAGAGTGATCCGTCATGCAACCTTTCTTTCGAGGAATTTAAGGACGGAACATTTTAGTACAAGGGGTTGAACACCCCCACTTTAAAAACACAGACTTGATTTCCCCTGAACTGAAAGGATTTCAATCCTGCTGGTGTCAATCTATCAAACGAGAGGTGTTGCACATTTCACTGCGTTCATCATTTCTGCAGAGAATAACTCCAGGCAGCACCAAGCTATCAGTCACGGTGGGAGTTTATCCTCGAGGCAGACAGACATCAATTTCACACACAATGAACCACAAAACCCTGGAGGGGGGGAAGGAACTTGAAGAATACTATAAATTATTAAAATTGAGAGTAATCCGAAGACATTTTCTTGTCTCAACACTGGCAAAATAATATCCTTGAATAACCTCAAGATCTAAAGGTGAGGCAAGTCAAAACATTATTCTCCTACCTCATATTTGTTTTTCCGTTCTAGTTGTCCGAGCTTTGCATTTATTTTCCCTTGTACGGTCTCAATTTCAGCTTTGATCTCTTCCTTTGTGGCTTCTAGGCTGTTCTCCAGTTTGTGGATAAGTGGCTCACATCGACAACCATTTATAGGGGCCTGTTAGGAGGGAACACACAGAACAGTCACTCAAATCAGCCAAACTTGATCACATTCAGAATTCCATCAGCAACATGCATTGGCACAAAGTTCTAATGATGGTAATAGTTTCCACATGAGAGGACTATATATTATTGCCACCAGCAAGATAGGTTTGACACATGTTCACGGCATACATTGATCAGAATCATCTGTTTCAAAAGTAGAGATAACCAGCATTTCCTATTGCTAGGCAGAATGTATCTGCTTTACATTGCGCGTGTAACTTTAAAATAAATTACAAGGAGTAGGTAGTGTGAAGCACATCCCGTTACTAGCAGCATTCAGTCATTACAAATCCCGTGAGATTCCAGGTTTCAACTTATGGTTTAGGCCTCCAACAAGACAATGCATAGAAACTCTTTACATCTGATTCCTCCAATCGCCGTTTAAGGAGCTTGTGTCGGAAGGAATAACATGCGCCTCTGACTGTCATTTGACCCAGTCGTAGGTATAACATGGCTCAAGAACACACAACATAAACACTGGAGTTTGCTTGTTTGGGGAAACCTCAAATGTTTGTATGTACAGGGGGAACCCCATTATAATATTCTTCAATACAGCACTGCTCTGCTTATAAGATCATCCCTGTTATTCAGTGAGCAAGCCTGCTTCCTATACTGTAAAATGGGCAATTTCCTACGTTGACACGTGCACAGCATGTAGGAAGTGGCAGCGATCTGATGACCTGGAATGCCGGTCTTTTGGTGCGGGATGTCAGAAACCCGCAAGCGGCAGACAGGCAAAGGCTGTTTTGTTGTTGTTTTGCAAGCTCATTTATAATGCGGGGTTGAAATTTTCTGGATTTTCTGAACAAGCCTACTACAACAGGATTCCACTGTAATGTGAATCTATAGTGGTGTTAATAGAATTCAAATAATACTTTTAGATAAGGAATGCTAGTCATGCAATTTCCTTGTAATGAATTTAATTGCAGCATTTAATTGTCTAGATCCGTACACCAGTGACATGGAGCATTTGTGTCTGTTGTGCAGGACAAGAAAAGTACTCACAGTAATTAGCTAAAGTCTCTACATATTAAAAAAAGTAGCACCAAGGAATGATTTCAAAACCATAATCTAATCTTGGAGTTCGGAACATCAGTGATAACTTGCTTCAATATATTATAATAATAGTTTGATATAGCGCCTTATCGCTCCTTCGAGACAGAATATACTGTAATGTGAATTGACTGTATATTATGTGGGCGAAATTCTCTGTCCATGTGATTTCTTCAATTAGTTCACTCCGCAATATATACGGTCAATATTTCTCCCCACAAAATATACAATCAATTCACTTTACAGTGGAAAGTGGAAATGTATTTGCAAGCCAACCAAGTCAGTCAGTGTAACTCTGTGATTACCTGCATGATTTTGCCATCTTTGTTTCTGTATAAAGTATAGAGCTGGTACGCTCGGAAATTGTGAGGGAGGACAGTTTGCTGTGGGGGTGGTGAACAACAGTGATGCTTGCTTCTCCTTTTCTTAAGGTCTTTGCTGCACTGTTCAGGTTGCTGGTCTGTTAATGGAGGAGGATCAGACAGAGCTGAAATCTGCATACAAATACAAAGTTCAATCAGTATATTTACATAAGGCAGCTTTAGGTCCTAGTCAAAGGCAATTTATTTACGCAATAAAGCCACGCTTAAAATACTGAGATAACCTCTTCAAACAATGGCAAACATACTTTACTCCTAAGATCTGTCATATGCAAACTTTGAAAGAACCATCACATTTATAACTAAATAGCATTTATCAGTGACAATAGTGAGCCTGGCAAGTGGCCAACACATATAGCTTTTACAAAACGCAGAATACTGCAGATACTAGAAATCTGAAACAAAAACAGACGTCCCTGGGAACACTCAGCAAGTCAGGCAGCGTCTATGGAGAAAGGAAAGTGAGTCAACGTTTCGGGTCCACGGCCCTTCTTCAGAACTGGCTTCTCCTTCCTTTTGTTTCAGTGGGTGACTCACAAGGACTACAAATAGTTTAATGAGAAAGCTCACCATTGCCACTTTCTCAGGGGAATTAGGGTTGGGTAATAAATGCTGACCTGCCAAGTCTTGCCCACAAACTCTACATTTAGCTATTAATGAAAGAATTAAGGAGCTACGGCTACAAATATTCAACAAGACTATGGACTGGTCTGTCGCAGTAGGCCATAGGTACAGTCAAGTCAATTCAATACAGTTCAAGGGAGTGCTAGATTAAATGCTTAGTTAAATTAGGTATTAATTATTATCTAATTATGATCAAATTAAGATTTTACAGGATATGGAAAAAAGGCATAGAAGTGGAATATAAGAAGTTGCCATAGATTTAATGGGGGAACCAGGCTTAATGGGCCAAGTAATCCAACACTATTTACTAACTCAATAAGGGGGGAGAAGAGGAGCAAAGACATATCAAATAAAGTTCCAGAATAGAGGAATATTCGTACAGTAGCCTGCAGTTGTGTTACAATATTGCAATTGCTTCCCTGCTGATCAGAGTCAGGGAGAAGGATTTCTATGTGTTGGTGTGTTAAAACAATTTAATTGAATGATGGTCCGAAACACTGACTATCCAGCGCATTGGGACATCCATCCAATGTGAAAGGCACTATACAAATATAATTTTGTTATTGTTGTATTGTCTTGTTTGGAGGAGTGTCAAAGATGTTTTAAGTTACATTAAGTCCATACCCAATTTAACTGCAATGTCCAAGATGCATCTTAGAACACTTTTTGTAGGAACAAAAGAGAATCTAAAGATGTGGTTCACTTACCAGACTCGACATTGTTCTGTTTACGTAATTTTTGGGGGATGGAAAATTCACGATCAATAATTTAGTTTGATTCATTCATTCTCAATGTTTCTTACAGATAAGCTTGATGAACAACAACAACTTTGATTTATATAGCGCCCTCCACGCCAGATGGGGTCTCAGAGCGCTTCACAGTAATGGATCCCGGGGCCGAGCCAGAGGGAGAGGGAGGAAGGTGACCAAAAGAAAGGTCTTCAGCTGAGATCTGAAAATAGGAAGAGAGAGGGCGAGGCGAAGGGAGTGAGGGAGTTCCAGAGCCTTGGGAGGACGTCCCAAGGCGCTGGACAGACAGAGTTACGGAACCGAGCTGGGGGTCAGGGTGGGGGAGGGTGGAGGGCAGAGGGGAAAGCAGGGAGATCGAAAGCACGGTCAAAAAGGAGGGTCTTGAGATGGGTCTTGAAGGTGGCAAGGGAGGGGGCGAGGTGGAGGGACCGTGGAATGGAGTTCCAGAGGGTGGGGGTAGAGTGGCGGAAGGCCTGCCAGCCAATAGTGGGGTGAGCAAAGCGGAGGACGTGAAGCAGGCCGGAGCCCGCTGAGCGGAGGGAGAAAGCAGGATGGTAGTGGGTTAGGAGGTCTTAGAGGTAGAGGGTAGCAAGACCGTGGAGGGCGTTGAAGGTGAGGACCAGGATCTTAAACTGTATCCTCTGTGTGATGGGAAGCCAGTGGAGTTGGGCAAGGATGGGGTGATAGGGTCGCGGAGCCTAGTGCGGGAGAGGACACTGGCTGCAGAGTTCTGGATGATCTGCAGCCGGTGTAGGGAGGAGTTGGGGAGGCCGACAAGTAGTGAGTTTGCATAGTCGAGCCTCGATGTAATGAATGCGTGTATGAGGGTTTCGGTGGCCTGCGGTGTGAGACAGTGGTGGAACCGGGCGACGTTGCGGATTTGGGGGAAGGCAGAGCGGGTCATGACGCAGATTTGGGGTAGAAAGGATAGTTGAGGGTCAAACAAGACGTCAAGGTTCTGGGCTTAGCAATGTGGAGTGTGCAACCATGGATGGTGATGCTGTCAGTGCCTGAGGTGTGGAGGCGCTGACAGGAGCCAATCAGGAGAGCCTCAGTCTTGATGACGTTCAACTGGAGAAATTTAGCTCTCATCCAGGACTTGATGTCTGGCAGACATTCTGTCAGGACAGCAGTGGTCCTGGAGTCAAGGGTGGAGGCAGAGAGATAGAGTTGGGTGTCATCCGCATACATGTGGAAGTTGACCCCATGTCTGCGGATGATGTCACCAAGAAGGAGCATATAGATATTGAAGAGGAGGGGACCAAGGACAGAGCCCTGAGGAACTCCACACAAGATGGTCCAGGGCCTAGAGGAGAAGCCGTTTGTGGAGATGAATTGCAGGCGACCTTGCCCAACTCCACTGGCTTCCCATCACATAAGATTACCTTTTCTTTCTGCTTTTTCTTTTTGTCTTTCTTTCTTTTCTGTTCTGGTGTGGCCATTCTTATCAAGTCATCCTTGTTTTTTTTCTTGTGAGGTCCTCGGTCACTGCTGTGGACGTCATCTACCGAGACACTTCCCTATCAGACACCAGAAAATAATGGGTAACAACCCAGCTCGTTCCCATGCTTATCTGCACATTTTAGTTCTTAATGAAAGTAGTAACATGCTACGACTACAGATTTATTTTTACTCGAACGTGTATCTGACACACACAGAAACCCAGCAACATGCTTAAGAATATGTAATCCAAACGCCACTTATTTGTCTGTAATGGAATGCACACTCTCTCTCCGGACAAATACAACCTGCATCCTTAATTCCAGAGAGTATTAGGTGTAGGTTGGTGAGAGTTTAGGGACCCAGGGTGTGCATTAAGGTGCTGCTGCTGTTTTATCAGCTAAAACTGCATAGCTTGCCACTGAAAACTCTGTGGCTCAGGAACACACTGCCTAGACTGCCACAGAGGGTTGACTCAATTCTGAGGTTGTTTCTGAATATTACCACTGGACCTTTAAATGTTAACCTGAACAGATCTTATGATTCTGAGGCAAGAGGTCTGCCAACTGAGCCATGCTGAGATGTATTGTTTTCCATTGATAACCTTTTAACTCAATTAATGTACTAATTATAAACCCTCCCATTAAAAACAAAAGCAGACGTTCTTAACAAAAACTGGAGAAAACCAGTCTTTAAGTAAAGACTGAATTTAATAATTTTTCAAGATTCTACACAATATTACATTTTACGAAAATCATCTTCAGTCTAAGACAATCAATGTTTTGGATGAGATTTTAAACCAAAGCCCCATCTGCCTGTTCGGGTTGGTGCTAAAGATCCCACAGCACTATTCAAAAAGAAAAGGGCGTTTCCCCCAATGTCCTAGCCAACACTCCACCAAATAAAATAGGTCATTCACTTCATGACTCTTTGTGGAACATTGTTTTACGCAACTTGACTGCCGCGTTCATTCACTAAACAGAGTCACTGCACTTTGCAGTATATCCTGCCAAGTGATTTGAGAATCCCTTTGATGTGAAAGACGCTATACCAAGTACAAGGATTATCATGTGATTTTTCAGGCCTCCTGATGCTTATTTATTTACCTTACTCTGAATCATTTCATCCCGAGGTACAGACTGTGCTCGGCGTTCCTCCTTTAACTTCTCCCGCCTTTTCCTCAGGCTTCTCCCACGGCTGAAGCTGAGAACCTAGCAAGGTGAAGACTAACTTATCAAATAACCATAGAGTTTGGGCCACCTTAGTACATAAAAAATATCTGCTCAAAAACAGTCGGTCCCACCCTACCTCCCTAATTTGGTAGATTCACCTTGCAATAACTTGCCAGATTTTGCCAGGACTTTTGGATCGAGGTTAATATCTGACAATGGTTGCCTTCCCAAGGTCATTAGCAAAACCTAAATCCTGCACAGACACAATGGGATGAATGGTCTTCTCTTGTGCCATAAAATTGCTATGGTTCTGCTATGGTTGTGGGGCAATGAGCTTTAAGAAGCACCAAAATGTTGTTCTTTTACCACAATTCACAACATTATTCACTGGAATTATTGGGCCCGGTGTGACCTAAGTTCAGACAATTCAAATGATGCTCACGTAACTTTTACAGTGTTGGTTACTTCCAGGAAATATGCAGAAATCAGTTAGTGGTTGATGTAGAGGAAATGTAAAGGCTCTTCCTTAAAACAAAAGCAGCAACAACTTGCAGCTTAACAACAGTGTCCTTACTGAATAAAGATCTGAGAAGTATTCTACTACTCACCACAACTATTTAAATGCACACTGCAAACAGCTTCCCTAGTACATCGAGAGAGAGAGAGGGGGTGGAGGTGATAGGAGCAGGGAGGGGAGGAGAAGGGAAGGGGAAAGGGAGGGAGCGAAAATACTATTCCAACACTTACCTGCGGTGCTTTAGTGAGAAGAAGAGCCACCTCAGGGTTGTTGCTTTCTCTTGCTGTATCCAGAGGAATCAAGCCTGCCTATGGAAGGAATTCAAGGCTCTCTTACCACAGTCAATAACACCATATATACCGTATAAGGAGCATCAGAACCCCATTCAATGAAACAACACATGGCAATAGATGGGATTTAATATGGTTACAATGGTCTTTAGTATGCCTTCTATTTTGAATTATGAGAAAATATATGAAATGTAGTGTAATTCATTGCAGCATAAAACACCTAGGAACGTTCACTAGTGAGTGCTTGCAATTGGATTGGATTGCAACCATTTCAAATAGTTCAACAACAAATACACAGTCACTACACTTTACAGTAATTCCTGTGAAGCCCTTGACACATTTTGACAATGTGATAAGGTGCTATATCAAATCCAAGGATTACAATTTTGGGACAGGCACCAGGAAGTATTTCTTTACGCAGTTGGAATGGGTAACTAGGAAGGATAGTTGAGGCATGGACACTAGGCTTCTTTAAGAAACAGCTTGATGCTGGGATAAGAAAACAAGAAGAACGGTATTCTGAAGGATCAGCTAAATTGGCCCAAGTGTCTTCTTCATTTAAACTTCACTTATTAATCTTATAAATAAGATTGGCATAATTCAATACCTTACTGACTAGTGTTAAACAATCTTCAGTACCTACAGCCTCTCACACACAGTGACTGACGTCATCTTACACAGTGACAGCGATGGTAGAGGGGGAAGAGAAAGAAACCTTAGCTGATCTGCATTTATTGGAACATGTTAACAGGGAATTGAATGATTTAAAGCTGGTCTTTTGCTCAGGCCAACCTGATTCAAAATATGAACCAAGGCCAGTTTGCTCATTGCCATTTCGGCACAGTATAAGATTTTCTTCCAGTTGTTAGTAGTACAAAACCTACTTACATTATTTGCAATGTTCCCATCAGCTCCTCCCTCCAGTAACAATCTTGCCATCTTTTTGTGGTTAAGTGCTGCAGCAATATGGAGCGGAGTATCTCCTGCCTGGAATTAAAAATCAGTTCAAACCTGAACATGAAGTTTCCTTGTGTCTTTTAAATGGTTACAGCACTGAGAAGATAAGCATTCCTTCTGAAATTGAAGGCACAGAAAGTGACAATGACAACTCTTGCACTGTAATTTAATCGGTGATACAGTTGCATGAAGGGAACAAGATAAACTCAGTCAGTGTTAACACATTAAGAGAATATAAAGAGATTCTCCCTCAGTAAAACCCGCGTCCCAGCCAACAACGTGAAGCACTTTTGAGTCGTCCTCCTGATGTGAAAGGCACTATAAAAATGTAAATTTCACTGTAAACAGGAAAGTTGTCTGTATATCTCAGCCATTGTCAGCATTTAAATGCCTCCTTTGGAAGCTTTTTAGTCCACATTAAACACAATGAAGGATCAGTTAGTTCCCTTCCAGGAAGTTCCCACCTGCGAGAGCAGATACAAATCTCCAATGCTTCCAGGACCTGAACTTGAGCCTTTGATGTTTAAGGTTGAAGATGGGGAAAAACAAAGAAGGTAAACTTTGGGAAGAACATCTCGAGTTAGGATGGGGTGGGGGGAATGGGGGAAAAGAGGCTAAAATCAGAGAGAAGGTTCTATCAGTAATAACTGAATTGTATGATGTAAGGTAGGAAAATATTGAGAGGATATTGTAAACTGTGAAAACTTCCACTTTGTCGCAATTAGGAATAAGATGGGTAAGGAAACAACCTTCAAGAGTCCAGCTTGTTACATGTCTAGGTTGTAAACACTGGTACAGTGAGTAGATGTCTGCTTTTACATTTGACACTGGTTACATTTCCAGCAGTAAAATGTACTTTGGTCCAGCACTGTGTTTTTTCTACTTAATGTACATTGTGCATATAGAATGCCAGAACAAGCTAGTATTTTATATAAACATTTGAAAGCCGATCATCTCAGGTTTCTGATGTATATAAAAAAATGAACAAGACAAGCCCACAGTATGAAGTGGAAGGTAACATTCCCCTTGCACTGACCTGGTTCTTTTGACTGACTGAACAGAAAGCACTCAGGAGGATTCGAACAATAGTGACATGGTTATAGCGAACAGCAATGTGCAGACACGTATCGCCCATCTGCAAAACATAAAACATTTCAACTCCGAGCACAGCTGAGGAACCAATAAAAAGGCTAGTGACATGCAAGGCTCCTTTAAACTAAATCTTAAACGAAAACGGTTTTGAATATGAAGGAATATAAAAGAGCTGCCCCTCACTTACACTGTTTTTAGTATCAGGTCTGGACCCTCCCAGCATTAGCACTCGCGAACTCTGAGAATGGCCATTCTGACAGGCCAGGTGAAGGGCTATGTTACCTGCCTTAAGGGAGACACAAGTGGCAAGACTGTAAGAGTTACTAAACAACGTAATCCTGTGCGCATCAAAATCTTCCAGCTAATATCTAGGGCAGGTTAAATACAACAAAGTTCTTCCTACTCTTCATTTATGATTGAATTCCCTCCCCCACCTCCTGTCGTTTCAAATAAGCACTGCCTATTGCTCCTGTGTGACAAGCTATCCTTGTGCCTCTCTAAATGAAAATAATAAATAATAATACTTGCAACTGATATAATACCGTATCATGACATTGAAACATCTCAAAGCACTTCACAAGATTTAGCGACTGTGTTTGTAGGCAAATTTGTCCTGCAGCAATGTTCCACAAACAGCCATGAAGTGAATAGACAAATTTTATGTGGAGGATTGTTGGCCAAGATACCGGAGAAACTCCCTTCTCTTTTCGAATAGTGCCATGGGATCTTTTACATCCACCTGAATAGGTAGACGGGATCTCAGTCTAACTCATCCAAGGACATCACCATTGACTCTCCTAGCACTGCACTGGTGTGTCAGCCTAGACTATGAGTTCCAAATCCTGATGTGGGGCTTGAACCCACAACCTTCTGACTCAGAGACAAGGTGCTATCAACTGAGCCAAGCTGACAGCTGGCTTAACACAACACTTGGATTTAAACACAAAAATAAAGAGCAACACGTGACATTTTATCTATCACAACCTTGTTTATGGCACCTCCGATGATGTAGTACAATATTGTTGAACCATAGAGCCACGAACTACATGTGGCTCATGAAGGGTCAGAGTGTGGCTCACAGCCCCCTCAGTTTCAATGAAAACATGTGTCTCAGGTAATTCCCGCTGACAATTTGCTTACAGAGATGTGTGTGTGGCTATTTAAACGCACTATACATACGTAGGAAAAATTTCTCCAGTCAGACTTTTTGAATATTCATATGAAATAGTCATCTAGAATAATACTTGTCTGAAGAATCAAACAAAAAAAAGTATCAATTGATACATGTTTTTGATTGACAATATAATGACATAGATTTGTATAACAAACACAAAGTTCTCACAAACTATTTTTCATGAATTTAAATAAATATAACCTGTATCTCATGATGTCTCTACTCTCTTCATATGTAAACGCATGTCAGTTAAATACTAGCAACTTTTTTGACTGGTGTGGCTCACACTATTGTTCATGTTGTTCACACATGTGGCTCGGTACAAATCTGGGTTCGACAAAGCTGGTGTAGTGGATAGAGCTGCAACTTACAGACCAGGATCTCGCTGGTTCGAATCCCGGTCCGTACAGAGTTTGCTGATCTCAGATGGGGTTGCATGGGGCTGCTACATTGGATTTCCCAGGGTAAGGGAGGGAAGAAACAGCCAAGGTTCCTGCTCCTAGTCACCCTATGGCACCCTCCACAGTCAAATCACACTGATTGCCAACCCTCACACAAGAACAACCATTTGGGCAGGATAACAGAGAGTAACCAGCACCCAATACACCCCAGTATGATCAGAGAGGCATATCCCACAAGAAAGAAAATTAGAAAAACATTTGGAACAACTCCCTTGTTTGGCACAGCTGATGTCAAACAAGAGAGTAAACATTTAGTAGAGGCGGATGAGATGGGTAGAAAAGTACAAAAACCACCACAAACCATGTTCTTGTACAATCTCAACACAAACCTTTCTGAGCACAAAGTGAATTAAGGATGTCTGAAAAACATGGAATCCTAAAATTTCATGACATAAAACCAACTAATGTTCTGTGATACTGTGGTAAGGAAATCAATACTCAGAATAGTTGCTCTTTGCACCACCCTCTGAATATATTTCATGGCAGAGGTGACTTGCAGGAAAGTGTGGTTTCTGCACTCAAACTGCTGACTCTTTTCATTCACTTGGATTCTCACTGGAACATTTGTATCCCTGAAACTGATCACTGCTGCAAAAACATGAATGTCTTCGGAGCAGATGGTATCAGAATGAATATATTCCAACAGGCCAGCTTCCTTAGAACATTCCCAACAGTGAAAAAAATCAATTATAGGGAAACTTTGAAGTTGGAAAAAGGTAATGTAAGGAACTGTTGCTTGATTTTCAAAGCAAGGAAGGAAGCTTTACCTCTACTTTGGTATAAACAGAATTCACAGTGCATTAAACTGCATCAGTGGGCATTTTCTACAAATATACAAAATTCGATTCACTATCTAGGATTGCTTCTTTCTAACCTGATTCTTCGCGTGGACGTTAGCTCCTGCTTTGACCAGGAGTTTGACAGATTGACTGAATCCATGCCAGGCTGCTTCATGCAGAGCAGTGTTTCCATCCTGAGGCACAAACAAAACGTATAATTCACCCTCAGTACAAACTTTACTGTAGATGCAAGGATGAGTTATAAAGTAAGGTGCTACAAATTACATTCACATGCGTTTAGAAGATAAAATAATCCTAATAATAATCCATCAATAATGATCAAAGGCTCTGAGATACTAGCCTGCATAGATTGAACTATATAAGTGCAAGTTGTTGTTGATTACTGTGCTTTCGATCTCCCTGCTTCCCCCCTGCCTCCACCCTCCCCCACCCTGACCCCCAGCTCGGGTTGGCAACTCTGTCCTCCCGACGTGAAAGGCGCTTTTTGTTGTTGTTTTTCTTATAAAAACTTCGCTAATTTCCTGGAAAAAGTGAGTATTTTTCTTTTCGCCAGGGCATATATTTTGCACCTAGTGTCACAATCCAGCAATACTAGGTCATGTATACAGTAACAAGGTACAGAGGAAAAACTTCCTCTATTTCTCATCCAGAATTTGCTTTAAACTTCAAACTCATCCGCATTAGTATTTGGTATTTCTATTACTACAGCAACTATACTCATGCTTATTCTGTGAACAAGACTGAAATTACCCAAGTTACTGTTATACAACAAGATTATAAGAATGAGAGAGAGAGAGAGAGAGAGAGAGAGCAAGAGAGAGTAGACACAGAAAAAGACAAAGACAGAGGCAGAGAAATAGAAAGGCACAGAGTGAACTAGATTTTACATTCTATCTGTCTGGTTTGGATTTATACCAGGTACAAGAGGTGACAGGGCATTTTTCATTCCACTGTATCCTCCCGTTACCACTGTCTTTTCAAGAGAGGTGAAACTAGAAAAGTTCATTTCGCACAATAAATAGAATATTTTCCTTACCTTGTCCTGTCGGTCCAAAGCAGCCCCCTCATGAATGAGGGCTGAGATGACCTCAGTGTTACCCACCACGGCTGCCCGATGCAAAGCAGTTTGATCACTCTGTCTCAAAGGAGCAGAAATGGGAAATTAAAAGAGCAAATTAGTACGAGGCAACCTGCGTATCAGAACAAATCAATTTCCAAACAGGGCGGGATAGATAAGAAGCTGGAGGAATCCCGATGTTGTGCTGAGTAGCTGACAAAATAGAACACAGAGCATTAATGTATTGCATTACAAGCAAGCAAAATTACTCGTTGTTCTATCTGTTCTGCATGAAATGGGAACATGTAGACAGCACCAAATGCTGATTCCCTCTCATGATCCCAATTTCTCAGCGGCAACCAACTGGATTCTTATAGTGAATAGCAGTGGTCTCAAAGACATCAGTCCCATCTAAGTGCTGTGAAGGTGCTCCTTCTCATGTGTTGTGGTGTGAGAGGAGGGAACGAGGTTATGGGGTATGGAAGGGAACGAGGTTATAGAAAGGTACATTTTTTTTTACTTACATCATCCTGGATGTCCAGATCGCAACTTGCTTTCAGCAGAATTCGCACTACGTCAATGTGGCCCTTGTACGAGGCCAAATGCAGAGGTGTACGGCCATGCTGGAAGAGTAAATGCAGCGATGTTGAGAAATGGTGACCCTCACAGCACTCACGCCAGACAATCAGAAGCCGCAACTAGTCATTTGTAACCACAAGAAATGCAAACAATATCTCTTTAAGTAATGTGGATGTCTGGTGTGTAAAGAAATGAAAAAAAATCTTCAAGTAGTACAAGTTAAATATTCACAGAATTATGAAGAAAGAATCAGCCATGGAATTCCTGTCATTACTAGCCTTATTAAAAAACATAAACGGCAACTCCTACATATGTGCTTAAAACTGTGTTGCAGATCTCAGACTCCCCTTCCCTCACTAGCTAAAGATTGACTAATCTTTAATCTTTCATTTTCTTTTCATTTTTAATCTTCACCTTCATCCCTCCGTTTTGTCCCTTCTTTGCCAGTCTTCAAATCACACTTGAAGACTTTCCTCTTCAATGGTGCCTGGCCTTTCTTTCTAGCTCAGTTTAAACTACACCTCTGTTAAGTGGTTTGAGAGGCTACCCACCTGAACGGTGCTATATAAATGTGCTTTGTTGTCAACTATCATCCTAATGTCACAAGTAAAATATTGTTATTTAACAGAAGATCAATATCATGAACTTACTAAAAATCTGATTGCTTTTGACTAAGTAGAATCCCTTTCAGAAAAGTACAGTGATTAAAAAGTGCTTGGCAAATGTTTCCCATGTGTTTGCCAAGCATCGCTTTGAATCGAAACCCATCATTGCATCACAAAAATGTTGTTGCACATTGGTCAGGCAGCATCAACTGGTTAATGCTATTCTACTGTTATACTCTGCAGAATCCAATTTTAAAAAGCCATGTTTGCAAAGCAACCCCTATAAATAAAACTCAAAAGTTAAAAAAGGGCATTGTGCGAATTGGAACACAGTGATAAAAACCAGGAAAGCTACAGGTCCCATCCCTATAAAGGTACTTCTCAGAATTGGTTTGGATGAAGAAGGTCCATCAGCTCCTCTGATCGATTGCTTCCATAATGTCCACCTTACAATTCCCCTCATCGCAGGATCAAGATGTTTTCTAAATGAGTCCAGTGTCAGGCCTCAATTACCCTTCCTGACAATCTGTTCCAGTCGTTAATTACCCTCTGAACAAAGTAAAACTTCATGGCATTTGCTCTGAAATTACCTTTTACAAACACTAAACCTATGTCTACTGTCTCCTTGCATCCTAAAGTACTGATCTGGTTTACTTTTTCAATCCCATTAAAATTGTACACACCGCTGTGAGGTCCCTTCTGAGTTACCTCCTTTCACTCTTCACGGTTTGAAATAACAATTATCAAGCATTGAAACAACTTGTTGGCAGCAAATAGTCTAAGTTCAATACACTGTAAATTCAATTTATAATAATTCTGACTAGAACTACCCACCGTCTCTGCACTGAGAACCAGCTAGATCAATGTAGAGAGTCAACACACTGGATAACCTTATTTGTATTTGTGTGTTCAACACCAAGCAAGTTGTGCAAAGCACCTAATCAATATCTAATGTGGGCATTGCTCTGGAGATTAAAGAGACAGGCTGGGCACAGCATCAGTGAACAGAAAAGCTCTTTTATAACTACTTGGAAGTTAGCCATGTTTCTGATTCAGGTACCCTGGTGAAGGAATGCTTGGTTTCCAAGCAACAAATGGAAGTCTAGAATGAATTGTGATTTCTTTATGTTTTCAGGCCTCAGTTGGAAGCACTCTTCCCTCAGAGTCAGAAAGTGGTGGGTTTAAGACAACTCACAGACCATAGTGACACACTAGTGCAATGCTTGGGGAGCGCTGCTTTACTGGAAGTGTCAGACATGGGAGAAGTCTGTGCTACAAGTCGAGAGTGATGCAAACATCTAAAGTATTGCTTGGGAAGGCCAAGCGTACATTGTGTGGGAGGGTGAGGGGGGTAGTGGTGGTGGGGGGGGGGGGGGGAGAGAAAGATATGTCATCAGACAAAATCTACGCTCACAGCAATGTGTAAGCAAGAGGGAGCCGTTTAAGCAAGTCTACTTGATCAAGCAGATGAATTGATGTAACTGATATGTGAAAGTGTGAGTCGAGCCTGGGAAACTTGCCATCACCTGCAGGAACTTATTTTTTTGCATAACATTCATGGAGATGTATATCTTCTAGGTAGTAGGAATGGATTACATTGGTACTGCACAATTTATACTCCTTGTACCACAATTTGTAGTATTTATTCAATTATATTCTGGAGGTTAACTAAACTGTAAGACAAAGATTTGAATATGTTCTGAAATCCCAAGAGCAATGGTTTTCTAGCCAGGAGCATTTTTCTAACTGTGGGCTTTCTGGTGCAGTTGACTTTACGCAAGCAGGGATGGGACACCAAGATACAATTCCATGCCTTATACTGTAGCAAAATGTGATACAGCCTTGAGCTAGAAGTGATTTAATGCACAAAACACCATTCTTAAGATTATTTATTCATATTCTTGCTTATTTTTACTCATATTCACTGCCAGTCTCCTTTGAATTCCTCCTGCTAAAGACTATTAAAGTATTCTGAGACTATCCTGCATGAGGGACGCCATGTAAGTTCAAGTTATTGTTGTTATATATCTGTACTCCTAGATCTCTCTATTCTGTCATTCTATTAAGAATACTATTCTAATATGATTCCATAATATGTTATAATATGTTATAATATGTTGTTATAATATTCTATAATATGCCATTCTATTAAGAATACTATTCTAGTATGATTTTCTTTCTCTCTTCTTCCTCTCACTAGTTCAATGAGTTACATACTTTAGGTATCAGCCTGTGAAGTGCTTTGAGACATCACATCATCCTGATGTGAAATGTGCTCTATCAAATGCAAGGATTATTATTATTTTTATATTACTTTTGGGAATTGAGGAAAAGTTCTAGAGTGAGAACTCAGATGCCAAGAGGCAAGAAGAAGGAAGAACGTGTAGGAGAGGACACTGTATTTGGAATCGGATAACCAGAAACCAATATTAGACATTAATGCTAATGGTACTGGCCAAGTCATTGTAACCAGGAGAATTCCTATCGAGTTCCTTCCTGCTTGTATTTTTGTTTGAAAAATATAAACATGGAAAAGCTACTGTGTGTAGAATTGACAATTTTATAATTGTTTATGTGTGTCTGTGTGAGAGTATCTCTCTCTATGTGTTTGTGAGTGTCTCTATGTGAGTGTGTCTCGAGGTGTTTGTGAGTGTCTCTATGTATGTCTCTCCCTGTGTTTGTGAGTGTCTCTACGTGAGTGTGTCTGTTTCTATGTTTGTGTCTGTGCTCAGACTTCTTATGTGTGTGTTTTAATGAGCGTCTCTCTCACCTGTGTGTGCGTGTGTGTATGTTACTTTGTGTCTCTGAGTATGGTCTCTCTCTGTGTCTGTGAATGTGTGTGTCTCTCTCTCTGGGTCTCTGTCTTTGGGCGGTGCTGGCCCTGAGAGGCAGGGGTGGTGAGCTCCTGTAGCCTCGCTGGTGTCCCCTCACCCCACCCCCAACAAAAAAAAATGGCCACCCAGTTTCTGTTAAAGAAACAATTAATAATTTTTTTTGCAACAACCTAATATGTGTTATTTCCTCATGTTTAGTTTGTATCAATAAAGTGAAAAAATGTAGGTTGGTAGTAAAATGTACGTCAAAAGCACCAATCAACTCCCCACAATTTCCTGCAAACTTTTCTCCAAATTGGCCCGCCATTTTGGGGACAATATTTCTGCACTTTTCTATTGTCCCAGGCTTTGAGCAATGATTAGACAAGCTAGGGTTCACCCCTCTGAGATCTCTTCTCTCAAGCTGGTCTAGAGAAAAGCCATGTCACAGGGGATCTTATAAAGGTGTATACCAAAATATGCCATTTTAAATGGGATTAAAAAAGTAAATCCAGAACAATACTTCAGGAAGCACTGAGAGAGTAAATAAAGAAGACATAGTTTCAGAGTTACAAAAGGTAATTTCAGAACAGACACTAGTAAGATTTTCTTTACCGAGAGGGTAATTAACAGGTTGCTAGGAAGTGTGGTGGAGGCCAGGATACTGGACTGATTTAAAAAACAAACAGCTTGATGCTGTGATGGGGTGGTAGAGTGGGTATGCTGGAAGGATGTGATCAAATGTGCTGAAGGGTCTTCATCATCCAAACCAATCACGTGAAATCCAAGGCTATTGAGGAGAGCTCTGCTGAAACCGAAGCACAGGTTTCATAACATTACCTGGGAAAAGTGAAGTTATTAAGAATTCAACAATCAAATGGTGGGGGTAACACATGTAGGCACGTGCAAAAAACTTCCACATAGTTACCTTAGTGACTGCTATCTTGGCTCCCTTGTTGATGAGCTGCACCACATTATCTGTCTGCCCTTTGTGTGCAGCTATGAGAAGCCGTTCTGAAAGCTGAGCGACTGCATCCCTCTGGCTCATGAATTAGAAACGGAGGTGCTCAGGGCAACCGGTGGACAGGTTCGGTCAGTGAGGTGAAATAGCCGAACTATGACTGCAACACGCCAGAATACAGGACTCCCAACAGTGCATTTAGGATAACAAGCCGCCTTTGAATTGGCTGATTTGTGTTGTAGGTGGCCTCATAACAAGAGTGCTCATGATGTCTTGAGAGATGCGAGTTAACTTGTGCCGTGGTTTACAACTTCCATCTTATGCCATCACCACCTTCAGAAGCTGCAAATTTCAAAACAGATTAACTCTTGAGGTCTCCTAGAATAGAGTGCTGCATAACAGTAATTAGGTTGTCCTCTCAGAACTCAACTGATAATCACACTGCCTAGAACACACACATACACCTTGGAAATTGCTTGACCGCCATTCTGGTGTAATCATATATGACTGCTGGTTTATTCTGCAGATATAAATGCTAAATTAGTGCCGACTTCACAGCAGTGAGAGTTATATACTATTAGCTTTGCACCAGCTGCTGGATTATCTGATCTCATTATAAAACACTGGTTAGACCTCAGCTAGAGTACTGTATTCAGTTCTGGGCACCACACTTTAGGAAGGATGTCAAGGCATTGGAGGGGGTGCAAAGGAGATTTACCAGGATGGTACCAGGAATGAGGGACTTCAGTTATCAGGAGAGGCTAGAGAAGCTAGGATTATTCTCCATGGAGCAGAAGGTTAAGAGGAGACTTAATAGACTTAATAGTTTTCAAAATTATGAGGGGATTTGATAGGGTGAACAAGGAGAAATTATTTCCACTGGCGGGTGGGTCGGTAACCCAAGGGCACCAATTTAAAATAGTTATTGAAAGAAACAGAGGGGAGGTGAGGAGAATTTTTTTTACACAGCGAGTTGTTCGGATTTGGAATGCATTGCCTTAAAAGCTGGTGGAAGCCGATTTGATAACAAGTTTTAAGAGAGAAGTAGATAATTATTTGGGGAGGACAAGTTTGCAGGGCTATGGGGAGAGTGCGGGGGAGTGGGATTGAATTGGATAGCTCTTTTCAAAGAGCCGGCACAGACACAATGGGCCGAACGGCCTCCTTCTGTGCTGTATAAATCTATGATTCTATGATTCATCCAGGAACAGTATAATTGGCTTCAGCACCTTGCCACATTAAAAGCTCAGATTGCTTCACAATGAAGGTAGTGACAGGGCATCTATTTAACGTCTTATCCAAAGGATACCACCTCTGACAAAGCAGTACTCCACCAGTACTGCACTGAAGCATCAGCTACACAACGAGCCAACGTCCCAGTGTGTTTTTTGAATCCTCAATCTTCTGCCACACACTCAAGTGTACATATAGACTATAACACAAGTTCCAAAAACATGGTACTTACCCATTGACCAAGAAATGGTAAGGAATTTCAGTGGATGAATTGCCATGATATTTCATTCATTTGCACTGACACAACAAATTGTACACATCATACAGATGTAATGGAGTTTGAAAAGGAGCCAAAGTATATATTTTTTAAAAGACTCACTGCACCCAAACCGCAACCATGTTTCAAACATTTTAACACGATAAACGGCTATGTTTACTGGCACATTATAGTTAGTCATTGATAGCCTTGCAAATCGCAAGCATTATTCATTTCAAATTTCTGGATACAATCACCACCACTCGTGGTAAGACAACTTGTTGATGCGTTATTGCAAGCTAACATTGGTATTTCTGTACAAATCTGTTCACACACGGGCAACACAAATGTTTTGCATTATACTGCAACAATACAGTTGTTTGTGCAACTGCAGCATTGACCCGCTATCTTTAGCACATTTTCAAACAACAAGGTCAGCATGCTGCAAGGATTTTAAAAGGGCCAAAGTTTGTATCATGTATCATGGATTCAGACCTTGAATAAGCACCATGAATGAATGAATGAATGAACTTACAGAGCCACTCTGGGTTACAATGTAAAGTGGTATTTAGCATACAAATAAAGGTCAGATTTGCATGTACAAGCAGAAACATTGGAGATTTGTTAAAAATGCAGTATAATAAACAGTCAGAAGCAGGGAGATCGAAAGCACGATCAAAGAGGAGGGTCTTAAGGTGGGGCTTGAAGGTAGCAAGGGAGGGGGCGAAGATGGAGGGACTGCGGGATGGAGTTCCAGAGGGTGGGTGCAGAGTGGTGGAAGGCCTGCCCGCCAATAGTGGGATGAGCAAGGCGGGGGATGTGAAGCAGGCCGGAGCCCGCTGAGCGGAGGGAGCAAACAGGATGGTAGTGGGTTAGGAGGTCGGAGAGGTAGGGGGGAGCAAGACCGTGGAGGGCTTTGAAGTTGAGGACAGGATCTTGAACTGTATCCTCTGTGTGACGGGAAGCCAGTAGAGTTGGGCGAGGATGGGGGTGATAGGGTCGCGGAGCCTAGTGCGGGAGAGGACACGGGCTGCAGAGTTCTGGATGATCTGCAGCCTGTGGAGAGGGAGGAGTTGGGGAGGCCAACAAGCAATGAGTTTTCATAGTCGAGCCTCGATGTAATGAGGGCATGTTTGAGAAATATTCAATTAAGAAAATAATTCAATTAAGAAATAATAATTTCAAGGCAGTGGTGGCCAATCTTCACGGTCAGCCAAAACATTTATTTTCTTAATTGAATATTTCTTGATTTATGCTGTAAATTGGAGATGCCATCTTTCAGATGAGCTGTTAAACTGAGACCCCATCTGCCTGTTTAAATGATGATCCCATGGCACAACTCGAAAGAGAAGGGAGTTTCTCTCGATGTCCTAGCTAACAATCCCCCAAATAATAGTGATCACTCTCTCCATGGCTGGTTGTGAAGATTGCAGGCCAAAATTGGCTGCCATGTTCATCCACAAAATACAGTCTCTCACTTTACAATTTATCCCATGAAGTGCTTTGGGTCATCCTCCTGGTGTGAAAGGCACTACATCAAATGCAAGGATTATTATTTATTATAAATCACTCCTTTCAAAAAAAATCCACTTCTTTCAAAAAAAATCTGAAATGTTTATTATCAAGCCACAGTGATGAGACAAAAGAGATAATAAACAGTTCACTAAGGGCCTTACTGCAGCAGCTGGCCATTTGACGATGAATGAAGACAAGGATAGAACATGTCTGGTGTTTCTTCCTTCAAGAATTCCATTGTGGGCGTGAAGTGATTAATGGTTCATTAGAAATGTTCTAAGATGTTGCAACAAACATGATGGCAGCTGTATCAACCATGTATCCCTGGCAACTGTTTGGTTTTATGGAGGTGGTCTCTCTGACCATGTCTGTTGCAGATGTAGCTCTGCTAATGGAAAAGGAGAATAGCGAGTGCATTGCTAAATCATTAGCTCTCTCATGAATTTCATAACAGATAGGCATGTGAGTGCTAGCTCTACACTATGTGTGTGTCAAGTGGATGACACACGGTCTCAGCCTACCCTACCTCCGCAATCTCCTTCAACCCTACCCATCTGGCCACTCCCTTCTCTCAGCGAACATGAGGCATTCTGCCCCAGCTTTCTGGAACTCTATCCAACTGAAGTGTCTCCAACTCACTCCCTTCACTCAGTGGGATGTATTAGGGAGTTATGGGATCGAAGGTGTGGAGGGGACAGAGAGCAAAGGGTTAGATTGAGGAGAAGAGCAGATCAGGATCGAAGAGATCCTCATTTTATCAGTTATGTTTATGAGATTTCAGTGTGTATTAAATCTGGAGAAAGGCATCTTTATGTTCCTAAGACAAGCGGTGCATTATGGAATGATAATTGTATAAACAGGGAGTGCACTAATGTACTCTAAATATGGGATTCAGATATTATAGATACAAAACAGATCTTGCCCATTATTGTGTTGAAGAATAAATTGCATGAAGCTATTTTCTCTTTTAAATAAAAGACGCTGTTCTCTGTCATAGCTGATCCTGTGAAGCTAAAACGTAATCACAAAGATCAAAGGAAAATTGAGAAATTTGTCAAAATAAATGCACAAAACATGCAGCAGTTATAATTCAAATAAGTGCACTTAGAATAGAAAATTCCTGAAGGTTTGGTTAAAGCATTGGTTTTTCCTCCTGACACATTCCCTAGGATAATGAATATCAGGATGGGTAGTAGAGAGGACCACTAGCACACAGTCTGCAAATTCATACTTAAAACTTCTTTTAAAACAAATTACATGAAAATGGACAATATACGCCTGGGCCATATTCATTTTATATACATATTTTGATATACATTTTGTTTGTCGGAATCTCTCTTTCCTCAGACCCAGGAGCACATAATGCTAAATAGAATTAATTCACAAAATTACCTCAGCTCTTGCTGTTCTTTGACAAGAGTTTCACGGTGTTCAACAGCTACAGGAAATATACTCTTGGTTACTTGTGAAGAAAACAAAAAGCTCCTTCATTGCCATTCACAGTGTGCTGTGGAGGACACAGCCACTCAGTGCCCACTTTACAACTGTTCAGGATTTTACAACAAAAACAGCATCAATGATTTTTCATGTAGCCCAAAGCAGTATATACTCTTTTTTTTACGCACACAGCCACACCCATTTAACATTTTTCCATGTAACTCAATAGGACATGTGGCATAGTGTGCACAGAAGAGCTTTTCCCTCCCCCAGTTCTATCTCTGCATGTGCTGAAAACACAGCGACTCATACTGGAGTCCAATCCTCCAGGCGTGGGTAGGTCTGCAAAACCTCAAACGAGTGACTATTCTGTTCTGACAAAGGGCTGTGGACCTGAAACGTTGACTGACTTTCCTTTCTCCATAGATGCTGCCTGACCGGCTGAGTGTTCCCAGGGACTTCTGTTGTTGTTTCAGATTTCCAGCATCTGCAGTATTTTCTGTTTTGGCTATTCTGCTCTTTGAGCCTGGAGCGTGAGAGAAAACTGAAGAACAGCATAAGAGTTGGTCATCTGAAAATCAGGCTCTTTTCTCAGCCTCCATTATCTTATTTCACTTTAGGCTCAGCTTCCATCTTGGTTACCAGGCTCATGCACATCATGTAGAACGATAGATATTTGCAGCATAGAAAGAGACCATTCGGTCCATCCTATCTGCACTGCCCCTTTGAAAGTGCAACCCCTTTCAAAGAGATGTGTGAAATGCAGTGATGGCAGGCTCGTGATATTAACTTGGGATGGTTGAAACCTCAAAAATCAACAAAGTAAATGGACAGCACTAAGAGCACTGCCAGTACTCAGGCTGCTCTTTGCTAAGGTTGTTCTGCTTATCCTTGCTGCCCA